GAAATTCAGTTCGAGGGCTGGCGTCCGGGAGGGGTGGGAAGGGAGGGGGGCTGTGCCTGAATGGTGTCTGCAGGCCTGCTGGATGAGAAGGAGCCCCGCCACAGGGAGGGGAAGCGGTTGGTGGGGCAGGGGTGGCCCCTGCCGCAGCGCGGACCTGAGCATGTCAGCAGGTGGCCTCGGGGGCCCCCAGGAAATCTGTAGACAGAAGAGGGGCAGACTCTTTGCAAAGTAAAGTATTTTTATTCATTAGTATTTATTAAACGGAACAAAAGAGAAAGAACCCCATGGTGTCATTATTCTGTGATGGAGTTTAATTCCTGTTAAAAATAAAGGTATATATTTTCCCCCTATCCTGCACAGTGTTTTTCTTCGCCGCATTTTAATACAATCACGTGGGAACCAGGTGGCCGTGGGGCAGGCCTGAGGCTCCGCAGCAGACTTGCCTTCCCGAGGTGGCAGCTCGGCCTGGGACTCCGCCTCGTTCCCCGCCCCCCCCCCCCCCCGCAACCTCGCCTTCTCGGTTTCCCAGCAGCACCCGGGTAGGATGGACGTCTCCACCGACCTCGGGCCAGAACTCCGCGCTCCCTTCAGCCTGGGTGTGGGCAGCTGACGCCGTCCTGCGGGGAGAAGGCAGGGGGCGCTGAGACCACGCTTCTGTTTCAGAGGTGGTTCTTGCCTCGGCTGCCGACCCGCCCTGGTCTGGGCCGGTCACTGGATGGGAGCACGGAGGCCGAGTCCCCGATCCGCCGTTGCTGCTGCGGTGATGGTCATCGTGGCTTCTCGTGTCGGCCCCGTGACGTCCCGAGCCCGGTGCCCAGGCGGCCCCGCTCCTCTGGGCCCTTGCCCGCTGCCCACCCGGGGTCGGGGCCAGGACCTCGGCCCCTTTGCCAGCAGCACTCGTCGTGCCTTGCCGTTGAGGGGTTTCAGCCGTGCTTGTTAATGTCTGGGGTCTGGGGCGGTGGGAGGCGGGGTTCCCGGTCCCACCTCCAGGTTCAGCGACTCGCTAGGAGGCCTCACAGCTGTGGTTTGTTGCAGAGAAAGGCCCAGGGGCTGAGGCAGCACAGGGAGGGTCGCGTGGGGAGAAGCCAGGGGACACGGGGCACAGGCTTCCTGAGCCCCACCCCCCACCCCAGGGAGTCACAAAGGAAGCACTGACCCGCCAGCAGGGAGCTCGTGGGAGATCAGCGCCCAGGGCTTTCCTGGGGCTGGTCACGTGGGCGCCCTCCGCCTGGCCCGCCCCCAAGTTCCAGACTCCCAGAGGGAGCGCGGCTGTCCATACTGTGTGTGCAGACGGGCCAGGCCCGGGAGGCCCCGCGTCACTCCACGTGCACGTTCCCAGACGCCCGAGGGTGGCGTCCCAGGCCGGCTGTGCGCTTCCCTCCGTAGGTGTCCTGAACTGCTCCCCTTTGGGGATTTTAATTACATTTATTTCAGAACGCTTGTTTGCTCTGTCCCTTCCTGAGTGTTTCAGTCTTCATTTGGGGCCCCTTTTCTGTGGTGCTGGTTTTGTGGGAGATTTGGGAGGCTTGGGTCAGCGTCCACCCTGTTTTCCTGTTTGCCAGTCTGATCCCAGGAACAGAGAGGGAAGTTCCGGGGCTTTGTCTCCTGGGTGTGGGGGCCCCACTGTGCCCCTCCAGGCTCTGGCCCTGCACGACCGGAAACGCGGAGCTCGCAGGGCCCTCGGCCCTTCGGCCCCTGTTGTCTGTGTGTGGGACGAGCGCTTGTCCGATGCGTCCGTCCCCTGTGTCAGCCAGGGTGCCTGGGTGGAGTACATGAGGGAGGCCCCCCCGTCTGCCCGCGTCAAGGGCGCCCCTCCCCCGCAGAACTGGGCTTTGTAGAGGGGACAAAGCAGTGGTTCAGTCCTTGAAGAGGCAGACAGCACCAGCCTTCCCCACCTCTGACCCAGAGTCCCTGAGCCCAGGCCCCTGTGGCATCTGGACCTGTGTCCAGGGTGTGGACTTGCCCCGGGCCCACCACCTCCCCTCTGAGCAAAGCCCGGTTCTGGAGGACGCCAGCCTGGCCCAGTCACACCCTGAGTCAGCAGAGGTGCCCTCAAGCCCGTCTGCCAGGCCAGCCACCCTGTCACCCCTGAGCCCCAGGATCCTCGGGCACCTGCTGAGGGTTCCTCTCCGCCAGCGCCTGCCCTCCCGCACAGCGGTCTCTGCCCACTGGCCTTGGGAGGCGTGCCCTGCCCCCCGCCTGGTTGTGTCCCCTGCCTGGCTGCCCCACTCTTCAGGCCCCGAGTCTCCTCCCCAGCTGCCCTCACCAGCCAGGTGAACCAGTCACGCCTCCACCGCCCCCTGTTCCTCAGCTGAACAAGGGGTGATGCGGCCTTGGGAGGGTGCCGCAGCGTCCAGGAGGAGAGTGTGCCCGGCAGACGCGGCGCTGCTGCCCTCAGGCCACGCCACGTGGGGCAATCTTGGCCTCACCTTTTATATTTTGGCTAGACTTGCTGTATCTCTGAGTGAGGGAGCTGATGTGTAAGTGGTGCAGAGCTCAGGACTGAGTGGTCCTGGAGTGGGGCGTGTCCACGGTGTGACACTGCAGGTGGGTCTGGGCTGTGACCCGTGGAGCCAGAGGGGTGTTGTCCCCGGCCGGGCAGCCCTGCGCCCCCTCCCACCTGCCTCGGGTGCTGTCCTCAGGAATCCTACACGGCCCGGAAATGCCTCCGCAGCGGGAGCCGAGGTCCTGCGTGGACCTCTTCCTCCTTGGAGTCCCAAGGAGTCTTGGTGGTGGTCACTGTCTTTCAGGAGTGGAGATGAGGGAGGCTGTGTTCTCAGGGTGACGGGCCTGGTGTCCAGCCTTGGGGCGGCGCCAGGGGAGCACAGGTGGGGTCTCATGGGAAGTGGGAGGGGATGGCAGGGCCTGCAGCCTGCTTGCTGCCATCACACAGTGGCGGGCGCAGGGTCTCTGGGCGGGACCTGCTGCCCAGCAGCACAGTGAGGGGCGCCCGGGCCTGTGGATGGAGGCCACGGACCCAGTAGGTGGGTAGGGTCCTGGGGGCGGCTGGACCAGGTCATCGGTGGTCCGAGCCAGCTGCCTGGGCTGGGCCGTGTGTGAGCAAGTGACGGATCCCTGCGACTCAGCTTGTCTCCAGGGGACGGTGGTGCCAGGTCCCTTTCAAGTGGCGCGTGAGCGTGTGCCTGCGCGTGTGGGTTTACCTCCCTGGCAGAGGACCTGACGTTGGAGCTGGCTCAGATGGAAACGAGAGACCGAGGGATTGTCTTGCTAGTGGCTCTTTGAAATCCTGGATAATGCGCTAAATGAGTTGGAACCACATGAAACACGCAGCTTCGGGTCAAAGCCGACTCGGGGAATCTCACGGGGTTCTCCCTCCTGGACCAATTCCCACCCGAGGAGCAGCTACTCGAGGGGACGAGGCGGCAGCGAGGCCCCAGGTGCCAGACCTCGGGCGCCACCTCACCCGGCACGGCCCCCGCCTCCTGCCATGCCCCACGCTCACCTGTGCACATACGTGGCTCCTCGGGGGTGAGAAGCCCCTGCAGACTTCAGGGGTGAGCGGGTCAAGGGTGAGCACCAGCCCGCGCACTGGACCCCCAACTCGCCAGCGAGGAGGAGGGCATCTGAGGCCCAGCCACACAGGGCAGGATGGAGTCAGCCTTCGCTCCCCACCGCTGCAGCCCCTGGGCACTGCCTGGGAGTCTGGCAGGCTTACAGGGACCAGCGAGGTCTGGGCTGCAGGGACAAGGGAGGGAGGATGTCCTGGGCTGGCTGAGCCAGAGCCGTGGGGGGTACCCACAGGGAGTGACCGGCCGCAGGGGAGGGAGGGGCCCCTGCCCACCAGCGCCCAGTGAAGGCGGAGCGTGGAGGTGAGTCCCACACCTGGCCCAAGCTCCCACCTGTCTCTGTCTCCCCTCCTGTCCCCGGCCTGGGCTGTCCCGTCACATCAGCACCGACCGCTGTGGACGTGGAATCAGGGTGGGCAAATGAGGTGCCACGGGATTGGTGACGCTGCTGCCCAGGGCTGAGGGGACACGTGGAGGGGGCTGCCCGTCGCTGCAGGGAAGTGAAGGTTGCCCCAGATCATTCACCCTTTACAGCACGAGCTGAGTGCTGTGGCCCCAGGGCTCCCAGCGCCCGAGGACGGACAGGACAGACGGAGAGCCTGCGCCCTGCCTCCCACCCACACCCTCCCCGAGTTTGGGATGCCGTGGGGCGAGGATGCCGCCCCACCCGCCCGCACCTGCCCGCGCCACGAGCACAGCTTCCCTGCTGGTCCGCCAACGTGAGTTGTGTCTCCAGACTCTGTGATCCCAGCCTTCCTGTGCTTGGGGGTAAACCCCTCGCTTGTGCCGCCCGCGCTCGCAGCGGGTGGGGCGCGGCTCCTGTCTGCGTCTTGCTCGCTGCGTCAGGCCGGCCTCGAGGATGGCTCGGACTCTCCATCTTTCTTTCTTACGGGATCCCCTGTTCTTGAAAGTTTGGTGGAACTTCCCCGTTAAGCCACCTGGGCCTCCTGCTTTCTTTGAGATTTTTTTTTTAACATTTAAACCAGCTAAATAAAGCATTACGTTTAAAGTGGATTTCTTGCAGAGAGAATGTGTTTGGGTCTCGTTGCTGTGTTTTTATTATTTTTTATCTGGTCTGACGATCTCGCTTTTAATGAGTGTATTTATGTTCAGTGAAGATCCCTGCGGTGCTTGGATTTCGTCTGCAGCATTTGACTTCCGTTTGCCCCTCGGGTTTGAGTCTTTCCTCCTAGTTTCCTGTCCTTTTCTAGATTACT